GGGGCCCGGGGAGGGGGGTTGGGGGGAGGGAGGTTATTGGGGAGGAGGTTGAACGGAGCACAGTCAGCATTAAGCATCTACTCTCTACCCAGGGTCTTTCTCACATGTCTCTATCTTTTTTTAATAGTATTATACTGTCAACAAGACGATAGATAGATAGATAGATAGATAGATAGATAGATAGATAGATAGATAGATAGGCAAAAGATAGATGGGGGCACCCTGAGGATAGGATCTAGGAAGGCTTTGGGGGGGGGGGTACATCTGTGCTTAGAAGCCTCCTCCAGGAAAGGAAAGAAATCAGGTGAGACCCTTCTGGGTCTCAAATTTTCTTCTCCACAAAGAGCAGTTTTTGGCAGTGAGCGCAGGGTCCTCTGGTTGAAGAACTAAACATTGTCGGTGTTTTCAATCTCTGACTTTATAAAGGATAGACTGCATTCCTGGGGAAAACCATATATGACTCCTGACGCGCCACACAGCCGTAGTGAAGGGACACAAGCAAGGGGTTGTAAAATACCAGGTTCTGAAAGAAATGCTGTGCGGCATTATTGCATTGTTGGCTTTCCCGTAAGTCCCCGATTCTTTCCAGCCAATGTTAACCTCCAAATCGCTGGGACTTGTTGCTAAATCTTTGCTTCACGCCCCCCACCCCCAGAAATAACCAACACGCTGAGATTTGGGGATCAAAAGACAAGGAAGGGAGCTAGAGCCTCAAAGCACAGAGGGCTGGGCGCCTTCAATAGGCCACTCTGCATGGGCTGCGCGTTCCGTCTGACTCACAAACGCTCGGGAGAAATTATGACATAAACCTTTATCCTTCCAACCAGGGAGATAAAGGCTGGCTGGCGGGCCTGGCGGGGCCCGGGGAGCCTCAGCCCGCGCCCCTCGACGGGGCGGCCGGAGCAGTCGTCTCCCGCCCTACACGCCTAGCTCAGGCTGCCCGCCCAAGGTGCTGGCTATCCGCCGGCTGGAGAAGCCGAGACCCGGGTCCCCCGCCCGACAGGGCGCAGAGCAGGAGTTGCGGGTGCGGGACGCGACTCACCCCGCAGGGGCGCGCGGCGCGTGGTACCAGCCCCCGGCTGAGCTCGGGCTGGGACGCCGCGCGCCGGGCGGTGCGGCTGCGGGGCGGACAAAGCGCCGCGCCGGGGTTAGAGCTGGAGCGACCCCGGGCGGCGGACCCCGCCAACTTGGCCGAGTCTGGGGAGCCGGATCCCGCGAGCGGGCGGGCGGGCGGGCGGCGCGGCGCTGACCTGGATGGTGCAGGTGTACTCGCTGTCGTCCAGCAGCCGCACGGTGCAGCTGTACTCGCGCTCCAGACTCCTGCTGCTGCCGCTCATCAACCTGCTCAGCATCTTCCCGCCCGCTCGCCCGTCCTCGGGAGCGACGCGGCGGCGCTGCGGACTCCGGACCCGTCGCTCCTCAGCGCGGCACCTCCGCGCCGGCCCTTAGCACCTGCACCATCACCCTGGCCGGATCGCCACCGCTGCCTCCTCCCGACCCACTCTTCTTCCTTCTACAGAGACACCACCGCCTCCCCCAAACCCCAAGCAAGCTGGGCTCTCTCCCGGGCGCCCCACTGCCCGTGCCCAGCTCATGGGGCGGGACTTAGGTAGGGGGCCAATGGAGGTCAGCGCGGCGGAACCGATTAGCAGGAGGAAGAGCCAATCAGAATAAGGAATGGGGATGATAAGCAGGCGGAGGAAGCAATCATCGCAAAACAGCAGTACTGAGCCCAGTCTGGCCAGCCCCCTAGAGCCCCAAGCCCTCGCTCGCTCCCTTCGCGGGCGGTGGTTGGTATGGATGCTGTTTGTCCTGGGCCGGGCCATGTGTGGACACTTCACAAGATCGGTGTCTACAACCTGGAATAACATTTGAGCTGTTTCGGGAGTCAAGTCTTGCACCCTGCAACACCCGGTTCCTGCCCTCTTGGAAGCCAAAAGCGAGGAGGCGGCACCTGCAGAAAACAGTCACCCACGATTCCCGACCTGGCGGCTGCCCCCCACCTGTGCGCTGCCCTAAGTCAGCTCCATGGGGCCCTGTGCCTCGAGCACCCTTATTTTGGTGAACATCTGTTTTACGATGGCTATTTACTCTGGTGCAACCACAGAAGCTTGTAAGCGCCCGCGTTTAGCGCTTAGAAAACCCTACGCTCTACCCCTTCTTTTATTTTCAGAAGACAAAAGGAGGCTGAGGTGTGCTCCTTAGCCCGGCAAGGAACTGGAAGTGGTGGACCTTTCCTTGTACTTTTAGAAAGAATTATTACCTCTTCAGACTTCTGCAACAAAGCACAATGGCCAGGAGCTGTATAGCACAAAGAACCGGGGGAAATACCTCCTTTCCTTTGTGTCCTCTCCATCTGCAGACTTAAAGTTCCTTTCCAGAACTTCACTGAGACAGTTACCTTCAAAGATTTTATTACTAATAATATCAATGTGTGCATGTGCATGGAATGTGAACACTCAGGTGCCACGCACGAGTGTAAAGGTCACAGGACAACTTTGGGGAATCAGTGTTCTCCCACCTTTATGTGGGTTTCAGTGATCAAACTCAGGTGACCAGACTTGCCTGGCAAGCACCTTTACCTGCTAAGCTCTCCTATTGGCTCTACCTTCAAAGATTTCAATGAAAGGAAACGTTTAAAAGGAATTAGGTTGGAATAGGGGTGTAACTCAGCGGTAGAGCCCTTTCCTGGCAGGTGACAAGATCCAGTACTGAAACAATGTCAATGCAAAACATTAGTGCTGTGAGAAATATAATCGTTTAAAATAATGAAGTATTAATTTATTACATGTATGCTCTTAGTATATCAGCATAACGCATAACTATTAAAACCGCCTATACTAGACTAGAAAAAAAACTGTCTTTTTTTGGGTGGCAAGTCAAGACAGAAGCTCACTGTGTAGCTCTGGCTGTACTCAAACTCACTATGTATAGCAGGCTGGCCTCCAACTCAGAGATCCACCTGCCTCTGCCTCCCGAGTGTTGGGATTAAAGTCATGCACCCCTATGCCTGGCCCTATGTTAATTTTAAAATAGTTTTGTCTACATGTTTGCCTGAATCAAATCTAAGATTTTGCATTTGCTAGTTAAGGATTGGTAGTAGGTTGAATATTGAACTACATCCCAAATTTTTGCATTTTTAGGAGAGTTCCACTATGTAGCTCAGATAACCCAAAATGGATCCCTTTCAAGTTCTTCAGTGTTTGAATTAGAGGTGTTCGACACCTAGCTGGCTCTTGACCTTAACAGTATGTTTCACTAGTATCTTTGGATTGTAATACCACCACCCCCCCCCATCACCTTAGTACTGCGGACTGCTCCCTTGCTGCATTCAGTAGCCATGGAAAAATGTTCCTCTTTTCAATGCACTCCTGACATAGTTATGAGACCAAAACCAAACAGTCAAAATGCTCTGTCTACTTCACGACCTGGGCAGTAGACTGGGGCCTGGAATACAGATGTAGGCGTTCTATAAATGATGAACTGATAAATGAAATGATGGATATGGTAGTTCATCTACAACTCCAGAAAGATCCGTGAAGAAACTAGGAGCTTCAGGAAGGTCTCATAGATAAGCGTAAGAATTACTGTGTCCGGAGGAGAGTCTTTACAGCCTGTGTAACCGGGAGAAATGGAAAATTTCAAGCAGGAAGCTCTTTTGTTGAAGGCAAAGTTACTACTTGTTATAAAATCTAAAAGAGGAAGGAAAGATATTCAAGAAGCTAGAGGAAACCCATTAGTATGATGATAGGGATGTATCTCTAACAGGTTATGCAAATAAGCAGCTGTTAGGATAAAAAGGCAAAGCACCATGAATCCAGAAAGCCATGAGGAACTGAACGCACTGAATGCTGCCTCCAGAGTGAGATGGTAGACACAGTCAAGAAGGGCAAGATGGTGGGTGCTATGCAACGTTTCAGGTAGCATCTCAGCTTAGTCGAAGAAAATCACATCTGTCTGGAAGCTCCCAAGGTCAAGAGTCACCCATCTTTGTGCATAAGATGCATCTGCAAACTGTCCTTTCATCTCCGTTACAGAGCAGAAGGTAGAAAACAATGAAATACAAGAGTCTGGTACATACTTCTAAAGGATAAGCAGAAGTCCAGGAGAAGCTGGAAAGATGGAGTTCCATTAAAGTCAAACTGAAAACAAATGCTGTGGTTATTTTTTCTCAAGTTTCTTGAGCCCAATACAGAGATGGATTGTTCATTAAAAGGCTCCATATGAGTCTGGGGGTGGAGTTGGTAGAAGTTCTAGTTAACTTGCATAAAACTCTGGGTCCTATAACCACATAGTATAGGGTATGTTGATATACAGCTGTGATCCCAGCACTCAGCAGGTGGAGGCAAAAGAATGAAAGTTCAAGGTCACCCTTCTGCTACGAAGTGGATTCCAGGCCAGCCTATGCTAAGACCTTGTCTCAATAAAACAAAAATACAAGGCTACTTGTGCCTTTGAGAACCACAATGTTGTGCTTTCATGTCTTTAAGTGTAAGGAAGTGATATTTAAAACAAAATTGCAAATTACAATGGTTGAGAACCCCACCTTCCAAGTTATCAGGATGCTAGCTCCCTTCTCTATTGTGAAGGAGTCCCAGGTATCCCCGTTTCATTTCTGGTTTCCTGACAAAAGCAATGTAAGGCAAAGAGTTTATTTTCATTTTAATTCCAGGTTACAGTCCATCATCGTGAAGGAGCCAAAGCACTGGGAACTTGAAGCAGCCACTCACACCCACAGCCACTTACCCACAGTCTGAGCAGAGAGAATGAGTGTGTACATGCTGGTACTCAACTCACCTCCTCGTCTATACACTCCAAGACCCAAACCCAAGGAATTTACCTTTTACCTCTCACAGGCATGCATGTATCCCCACTTCTATTAACCTAATGAAGACAACCCCCGAAGACAACCCCTGACAGATATGCCCACAGACACTCAGATATAAACAGCTCCTCACTGAGATTTCTCTGGTGGCTCTAGATTGTGTCAAATTGACATTTAAAACTAACAATCATGGCAGAGAGGTACCAGCTCCCAGATATGCCTGAAATATCTGGATGTCTTTACTTCAGATGCCCCACCCCTACCCCACCCACGCCCTGCTGGTCTCTCCAACCAGGACTGAATTGTGCTAGGTTTTGGCAGGAAGGAGTATCACCTGTTTTTGTTTTTTGTTTTTTTTTTTTAATTTGCCGTTTTGCTTTTTGATACAGAATCTCTCTACATAGCCCTGACTGTCCTGGAACTTACTACATAAGTATGTCAGGCAGTCCTTGATCTCACAGAGATCCATTTGTTCCTGCCTCCCAAGTGCTGGGATTAAAGGCATGTGGTTCCACACCCATACTATTGCCTTTTCTTAAGGAGAACATCACTAACTCAGGTCCATCTCATCAAAGTCTCTCTGTAACACACAGCACAGAGTAAGCTCTGATTTCTGGGGTTGGAGATGTAACTCATTAGTAGTGTTCTAGCACATGTGAGACTGTGGGTTCTGTCCAGAGCACCAGAAGAATACAAAAGAAAAAATGGGCTATAATTTCTAACAATATTTTGAAAGATATGACAGGGCTATACTGAAAGGCTTCGTGGACTAGTGTAAGTGCCCCAAGTTCTCAGATTGGACAGCTTCCTGTCCCCAGCAAAAATCCCCTGACCATAATTAGGACATCTTGGTCCAACAACTCTTAGGTTTCAGTCCACTTTTAAAGTCTCATTTTTCTGTCCCAGATACTATCTCTTCCGAGGGCAGTTGACCTAGTATATAATCTCCATGCCCAAGAGCTGACCTTGACCTCAGACTCAACGAGGCCAGTGCATTTGTTTTTCTTTTTAAAAAAAATTTTTTTATTTGTTTTCTCATACATTATATCCAACCACAGTTTTCCTTCCTTCCTATTCTCCCAGTCATTCCTCCAACTTCTTCCACCTCTCCTTTATTTCCCTTCAGAAAAGGGCAGGCCCCTCCAGGCTATCAACCATACATGGCATGGCAAGTCACAATAAGATTAAGCACCTTCCCTCATATTAAGGCTGGACAAGGCAACCCAGCAGGAGGGAAAAGGGTCCCATAAGCAGGTAAAAGCATCAGAGACAAGCCCTGCACCTGCTGTTAAGAGTCCTGTAAAAAGACCAAGCTATACAAATATATAACATATATGCAGAGGGCCTAGGTCAGAGCCATGCAGACTCCCTGACTGTCAGTTCAGTCTTTCTCTGTGAGCTCCTATGAGCCCAGGTTACTTGATGGTTGTCCCCTGACATCCACACATGCACACACACATATATCCACACACAAACATACAGTTTAACAACATTTCTCACAAAGACTGTGTCGGTCCAGGAAGAACTTCATCAAAGCCTCTCTAACCTCTAAGCCTACCAAGAAGAAAGAAGCAAGCTCTGTGCTTCCTCTCTTCCCATCCTGTCTACAGGAGTAGGCTCCTGCTCCACACAGAGATCTGCCCACTCAAATAAAGCATCACTCTTCTATCTGAAGCATCTGCACTCAGAATAATGGCTGCTTCACATTTTCTGAGTGTGTTAGATTGAGAATTACTTTAATATGTGTCATTAAGCAA